GAAACATTTGGTTTATATAATAGAAAATTTTTAAATTTCTAAATCCTGTTTAGAAATTTAGAAATGCAATTTCAACAAAGTTTATTTTCTTACATACAAGATAACATCAGCACCCTGTATATTCTATATTCTTTATTCTTAATTTGTAAAGCAAATACGCTAATTTATACTTCCCAACCCTTTTCCTCACACCCCCTTTTCCTCGCAACCCCACCCCTTTCTGTAAAGTCCCGCCGCCTGCTTCCCAGTTCTTATTTTTCCTATTCCTTCTTCATTACTCAGGTTTGGTTGGTAAAGGGTAACATAGGCTCTTGATTTCCCATGGTCATCTACAGATAGGGATGTTAACGTTTTCATTTTTTTTAAAACGATCGTTTCGTTATGAAAACGACGACAAAAAAACGAAAACGAAACGATAGTTTTTAAAAACGCTCGTTTTGCAAAAGAATTGTTTTTATAAAGCTCGCCGTTTCGTTTACGAAAAAAAATTTCAAAAACGATAGTTTTTTTTAAATCGAATAAAAACTATTGCTGATCGTTTTTATAAAACTGTTGTTTTCAAAAACGATTGTTATTCGTTTTCTAAAAGTTCAAAACGAGTGGGTCGTTTTTTCCGAAAACGAAATGATAGTTTTTGGAAACGATCGGAAAACGAAACAAAAAACGATCGTTTAACGATCGTTTTCAAAAACGATTAACAGCCCTAAAAGAGGGTGTTGAAGATAGTTTGAAAGATAGTAAATGTAGATATTATGAATCTTTAGAATTTTCAAATGTTTTCAAAGAAAATTATGATTTTGCAGCTATTTCATTGAACTTAAGAAGTTTACCAGGAAAATGGGACCATTTTTTGGACTTTTTACTAGATCTTAATCAAGGTGAATTTAAGTTTATTATAATTTGTATGCAAGAAGTTTGGTCTATACCTAAATATACCTGGATATAAGCCAATAGTACACAAACTGCCCAATCAAAGGGATAATTTGAGTTCAATTGTAGGGGGAGGGGTAGCCTGCAGGGTAAAAAATGAACATGATTTTGAGGTGTTAGAAAATATATCTGTTTTTGAGGAAAGAGTTTTTAATCTATCTTTTTAAAAGCCAAAGTTTCCACAAAGAAATTTAGAATTATTGGTAATGTATATAGACCTCCTAACTCTGATATCATTAAGTTTACTGAAATTATGGAATCTATTTTGTAAAAATTTCAAAAGAATGTGGAATCATCTACTCAAGTTTATCTGAGCTGAAAACTTTAGAATGGTGGATATCAAGATCAATGCATTTCCCCTTTTTCTTAATCTTCAGATTAAATAGAGCTTGTTCTCCTTTTGTTATTAATCTCCAGATTAATTAACCGATCGGGATTAAGGATATCTCATTCTAAAGTTTTCAACTCTGACCATTTACCCGTTTTTTCATTGTTTAAATGTACACAACATGAAGATAATATTGGTAGCAAACCAGTTCTAATCAGAAACATTTCAATCGGAAATAAATCCAAGTTTAATGAAAAATTGTTACTTAATGACTGGACTCATGTTATGATAAATGAAGACTCTTCTACAGCTTTTTCTGAATTTTCTAGTATATTAAATAATATTTATGAAGAAAGCTTTCCATTTATTAAATATAAGCCAAACAAAAGTAAAATTCTATTAACCCTTGCTTTACGTCTGCTTTGCAGTATCTAGGAAACAAAAAGAAAAATTATTCAAGAAAAACATTCTGAATCCATGCTACAAACAATATTGAAGCTTTTAGAAAATATAATTCTGTTTATCGCACAACAATAAAAAAGCCAAGACTAGTTATTTTTATTCAAAATTTACAGAATACTAAAAAGAAATAAAAAAGACTTGGTCTTTACTATAAACTCTATTATTTCTTCTAAGAAAAACAGAGATAGCACAGGGTTTTAATGATTTTTTGTGAAGGTTGGACCCATATTGTCTAGTTATATTCCGGATTCTAATGACAATTTTTAAACATATCTAAAGGAGCCATCCAAGGAAAACTTTGTGTTACACCAGAAATTATTCTTGAAACAGTGAGTAAACTTAAGCCTAAAAGCAGTTCAGGTAAATACAATATTTCTACCAAGCTACTGAAGGAAATAGTTGATATTATTGTTTTTCCTATAGCTCATTTGTTTAACCTTTCTTTAAAAACGGGATATATCCCTAGTGATTATAAATGTGCAAAAATAATTCCTATCTTTAAAACTGACAAAAAAGATAGATTTAATAACTACAGACCAATTAGTATTCTCCCAGCACTAAGTAAACTTCTTGAAAAAATAGCTGCGACACAAATGTTTAAATATCTTAACAAGTTTGAGATTTTCAACATCAATATGGATTTAGACCAAAACATAATACTAATCAACCATTACTAGACCTTGAATAAAATTTACGAAAATCTTAATAAATATAAACCAGAATTTACACTGGGAATATTTTTAGATCCAAAGAAAGCTTTTGCCTGTTTTGACTTAAATATTCTTTAAAAAAAACTTGAGTACTACGGTTTTAAAAATGTAGCTAACACCTGCTTTCAAAACTACCTATGCAATAGGTATGTATAAATGGTATTTTTTCTAAAGAAGAATTATGTGTGCAGTGTTCTCCAGGGAAGTGTTCTTGGGCCCCTACTATTTCTAATATACATAAACGATTTGCCATTAGCAACGTCTTTTTTTACTAATCTATTTGCCGATGACACAAGTTTTCTAAAATCATCTCCACTTTAGTAATTGATGCCAACTTTGAACTAAAAAAGGCAGCTGCATGGTTTCAGGCAAACCGTTTAACATTGAATGTCTCCAAAACAAAGTTTTTGATATTTGGGAATAAAAATATGCATTTTGATCTTAAGAACTGCAAATTAAAAATTGGAAATGAGATTCTAGAAAGAATTAGAACTGACTGTTTTTTGCTCTGAATCAGATTGTTTTGCTCTGAATCAGATTAAAAACATTTTACCATTAAACATTCGCCTACTAGTTTATAATGCACTTGTAAGGCCACATATTGAGTATGGAATTATAACATGGGGAGGGGGGGGGGGCATTAAAAAATGCTAAACTACAGATGATCAAATCTTTGCAAAAAAGGGCAATTAGAGCAGTAAATAATAGTTCATTTAAAGCCATTCAGATCCAATATTGTTCAGATTAGAACTTCCTAAATCTTGATGATACATATAATCTAGGTGTTCTATCTTTTATGCATAAATACTTTTATGAAACCTTCCAGCTTCCTTCCAGGATATGTTTAATTCTTTAGCTGAACCAAATAGAACAAAATTATATAAACTTGAGCGGGTTCTTTTTAAAACGCTAGAATATATTCCTTCCGCTTTATTTTCAAAATTATGGAATTCGATTGAATTAGAGCTTAAAGAAACTAAATCTGCAAAACTGTTTAAAAGAAAAATCTTCAAAAACTATTTAGATAGTTATGCAAGTTATATCTGTAAAAAAAATAACTGTTTTTCATGTGGATAAACTTAGTCTTTGCTATCTTCTTCACCCTGAAATTTATAAACATGATTCTAATAATATATGTTACCCTCTGTTACAACCCTTCTGCTGAATACCCACCCTTTCCCTTATACTTTTTTACCCCCTTCCTACCGTATTCCTGATTTATCATCATTGTTTTGTTTAAAATGTACACTGTGCAGTGTACATCCATCTAATTATTTACAATTCTTATTCACTTATAATGGGCCAACCAATCAAAACACCCAACTCTGGTTAGGCGGGTCCAAACTACATAGTAAATTGTGATTTTTTATTTGTATTATTTCTTGCTTTGAAGTTGAATAAAAATATGAAATATGAAACATACATCTAAACAAATATATTTCAAACCTGCAATAAAATGCAGGTGTAATAAAAATAAATGACAATGTATAAGTATAGTTGAATTTTTAATAATATATCTTACTAGATTTTTGTGTCGGAGTGATAAGGAGTGATTAAGGATCATAGGGTTTGATGGAATTGTTTGAAACATTTGTAAATACTTCTTGAAATTTAAACCTGGAATTTATTATGGATTGGAAAGTTATTTATGGATTTGATCTTTCACTTAGTAAAATGTTTCGCTGTTTTGATAGGGGTATATAACTTAACATTTATTTAAGAATTAAATATAATAATTGCATTACATCAATTTGACATGAATAGGTTGTAAATAATGTTATAATTTTGGTAATCGGCATGTAAAGTGAAGATTTAACTTGAACTGATTTGAGACTTGAAGTTGGATAAGAATAAGAATAAAAATTGAAATTTTTGCATTGTTGGATAATTAAATGAAATTAATAAATAAAGCAATTGAAATTGTAGTAATGTTAGATAGATAAATAAAATTAATAAGAATAGAAATTGAAATTGCTGCGATGTTGGATAAGTAAATGAAATTAATAATTAAAGAAATTGAAATTATTGTGATGTTAGATAAATAAATAAAATTAATAAGAATAAAAATTGAAACTGTTCTAATGAAACTAGTAAATAAAAAAATTGAAATTAATGGTATATGACAATTAATTAGTAAATATATGATTTCGGATCAATCTGAGTGATGTCTTGAGGATGAATTCTGGTGGGTAATTAGGTTGGAAAAATTTATTTTCCTCTTTTTGTCCTTAAAATATGGAAAATAAAATAGAAATCATTGATTTAAAATAAAGGACAGCTTTGTTAATAAAAATTTCGATAAGTTTAAGAATTAAGATTTTTTAAATTGTATTTTAGATTTAAAATCTTGGGAATAAACTTGGTTTTGATAATTATATGGAATTAGAAGAAATTTTATTTCCCTTGGAAAATTAAAAAATTGTAAAATAATTAATGATTGGAAACACCCTGCAACTGGAATTCAATGAGCTCTCTTGCTCGTTGTCAGAGGATTCAGTGTCAAATTTGTCTTGATGTGCTCTGAGCTCAGTTCTACGGAGAAGGTCTTGAACCCTGGCAGCTGAGATTTCATGACCGTATTTGGGTTCATTCTTGAAGAGGACAATTTACCCCCTCGAGGTTTAAGGTTGAACTGGTATGGTAGGAGGATTTTGGTCAGTTGAAGGATCAAATTGAAGGGTCTGCAGGTTTGGTTGGAGGGTCTGGTTTTGTTGAAGGATCTTGGTTAGTAGCAAAGTCTGGTTCTGTTGAAGGATCAGGGTTGGTTGATGGGTCTGGTTTGGTTGGAGGATCTGGTTCAATTGGAGGATCTTAATTGATTGGAGGATCTGGTTAGATTAGAGGATTAGGTGAGGTTGGAGGATCAGGTGCGGTTGGAGGATCAGGTGCGTTTGGAGGATCAGGTTTGGTTGAAGGATATGGGTTAGTAGCAGAATCTGGTTCTGTAGAAGGATCAGGCTTGGTTGAAGGGCCTGGCTTGGAAGGAGGATCTGGACTAGTTGAAGGATCTGGTTTGATTGGAGGATTAGGTTTTGTTGGAGGATCAGGTGCGGTCAAAGGATCTGGATTGGTTGAAGGATCTAGTTTGATTGGAGGATCAGGTGTGACTGGAGGATCAGGTGGGGTTGGAGGATCAGGTTTGGTTGAAGGATTTGGTTTGGTTGACGGATCTGATTAAGTTGACGGATCTGATTTGGTCAAAGGATCTGAATCAGTTGCAGGATCTGGTTCAGTTGAAGGATCAGGTTTGGTTGAAGGGTCTGGTTTGGTTGTAGTATCGGATTTCGTAGGAGGATCTGGCTCAATAAAGGGATCTGGTTTGATTGGAGGATCTGGTTTGGTAGAAGGATCAGGTGCTGTTGAAGGATTTGGTTTGGTTTAAGGGTTGGGTTCAGTAGAAGGATCTGGCTAGGTTGAAAGGTCTGGTTTGGTAGAAGGGTCTGGTTTGACCGGAAAACATGGTTTGGTTGAAGGATCTGGTTTGGTTGAAGAACAGGTAAGCCCAACCGACAATGACTGGTGTTCCATAACACTGGCACACATGTAAAAGACCAATTTTCCGTTTTCTTTTATTCTTTTTTAAATTTATAAAAATTTTATAAAATTGTTTAACTTCTTCTCTAAAAAATAATAAAATTTAAACAAATAAGGATTCAGCTTTGAAAAAATTATATTTTATTTTCCGAGTCGTTTGAAAAATTAATCAAGTACATCATAAAATTAACCAGTTATAACCACAAAAATCTAACTAAATGTTCTTTTTAGGAGATATTGGCAAAACTCCGTATCGCAAAACTTTAACTTCAGGCACAAAGGAATTGAGTCTTTGGAACAAAATCAAATATTAAAACCTCAATATCTTTAGAACCCGATGTTGTAAACCTTTGATATTTCAAATTCAGATTATTTGATCTAACAGAATTCACAGTTTGAAATATCTAAGGTCTGCAACATTTGGTTCCAAAGATATAGTGATTAGAAAATCAGAGTTTAAGGCAAAGACTCAATTCCTTTGTTAATTTTATTTGATAACTATTAATCTCAAACAATTTAAGGATGGCCATTCTAGGTAATAATCTAGAGAGAACGAGAACTTTCAATTTTTATTCAAGCCTGAAGATTTAATACGGTGAGTTTATGTCAAAAACCTTCAAGGTTTCAATCTCCTGAACAATCCTGTACTCTCTCCTAAAGGATGCACGAGGTTTTATAGACTTAGTTGTAAAAACATTCAGAAGCAATTCATGCCCCTATACATTTTTCAAAATGTGTAATCTACAATAAATTAAAATAAACATCTTCCCTTTGTTTATATGCAAGCTGGATAGAAAAAGAAGCTGCACTAGAATGTCGTTTATATTATGTACCACCGTATCAAAAAATCATTTAGTGTAAGAATCTCTTGTAAAATGTTTATCCATTTTTATATTTCTTTTTAAGATCTCATATATTTATTATTTGCTAATCCATTTAAGGATTTAATCGGGTTTACATTGCATTACAAGATATAGCATTACATTTTCATAATTTTCATGATTTCTGGCAATCTTAAATCTAGGTTCGCCTTCGTTGGTTTTAGTTCTGGCTCAGAGACATCACAGGATTAGGTTCAGGTTCAGGGTGAGGATGAGGTTCAGATTCAGGTTCTGTTTCAGACTCAGAATCAGGGTTATGGTCAGGATAGGGTTCAATTTCTCTTCTTTTTGGGGGTTAAAGTGGAGGTTTCTTCATCACTTGTGGCGGTATCACACGTACAAACAATCTTAGGGGCTTTTTGGTACTCTTCTTTTATCCGTTTTGGTATGCAACAAAACATTATGATATTTTCTTCATTTTGTGATGTTTTTACTATATGTTTCTGGGCTCACTGGTCATGGGTTATTGAGAAAATGTCCAAAGGGTACAATTGATAATCCAACATCCTGAAGTTAAGATTAACTAACATTGAATCAGGATTAAAATTATTTCATATTAAATGGGATTTTTAAGATCTTTAATTCAACAGGTTCATTTTAGATCAGGATCTCTATTTAGACAAATATCAGAATATGCCAGAGATGGAAATTTAAGAAAAAGTATAAATGAGTTCAACCATGTATTTAGGTATTTAGGTAGAATTAGCAAACTCATTTACTGAAACTGTCATTTTCTTGAGGCTGAGGCAATTAATTCCAAAGGATGTTTTTAGCTTAAACCAAGTTTGAATTATACTGAATTTTAAAATCTCTCAGCAGAGAAGTACCATCTAATAAACCGCAATATTATTACCTTCATAATTTATATTGATCCAATTAATTAAAATTACATCTTAAAACGAAAATTATTATTTGAATTAATGTTGTAAACTTTAAAAATCTAAATATCTGGAGTGAAAAGGTTCATAATAACATAATACTAAATTATAGTCTGCATTTTTTGCTTGATCTATGACAGAACTCAAAATCATCAAGCAAAGTATCTGATCATCTTACTTTTATGTGACATATCAAATAAATAAATTCCACAATTGATTTTAAAAATACGTAGAATTTTTATGTTTTAAAGCATAAATCACGAAACAATTTGTGCAGCAAATAAAATGGAAAATTATGTGTGCAAAGCGTGCACTGTAACAAGGTTTCTTAAAAGAAATGTTTACTCTTGAAAGAAATGCATAATACAATACACAATAGTCAATACACATGTTTATGTATTTTTTAAACATTTAACCCAAGCTACTCTATTCAGTTTATTCTTTAAAAAAAACTATAACAAATAAGATACAAGTACTTAAAAATCAAGTTTTCAAGGATGTTGGACATTTTGATTTTATGTTCAAGGGTACAGTCTGTTGCACCGCACAGAGGTTCCTAAAAAAGTTACAGTGGTAGATTTCACATGTTCATTATAACAAAGACGCCGGAAACCATTTTGTACCTTTTCTGCTGATATCAGTTTAAATATTGGTATGTGAACTTGTGGATTGGATACTTAAAGAGACTGTTAAGGCAAAATGTAAGGGGTTTTAGACTGAAACCTAAGAACTTCAGGAGTTGATAGAGACCTATAAGAGTTCCATCTGATGTTGATATAAAACTGTGTCAAAATTACGATTTGGTAGATTTGGTATAAGCTTTTAACAGATCATATTCAGCAAATATGCAATCAATATGAAAACAACGATATCCCAGAGGAGCCAGAAAAATTCAGGTTTGCTTCTATCATTATTTGAATTTTATAATTTTTCATTTTTAACAGAAATAATCGATAATAATTGATACGTACTATCACGTGACCAGAACTACCACCAATGGCAGTGCAGTATCATTGTCAAGTGATACAGACGGAGACAAGTGTGAAAGGGGTATACCCCCTTTAATTTTTCCTTTATACAGTCCCTTTAATCTACGGTTCAGCATTATGAGTACAAGAAGTAACACAACTGAGGGGACACATGTCAATGAAAAGAAGGCTATAACACTCTCTTAACTGGACTGTAAGCGTAATGCCAGATTCACAACGGTACCCTTGAAACCTTCAACGGATCAAGGATGAGTGAGAATGCCGAATTTATCTGAATAAAAATTCGAGTGACAAACCTGCGAAAACACGAATGCCGGATAATTCTTAAATTTCTGTTCATGGAAGCCTTTAATGCAAATGCAATTGATAATATTGCAAATCCAACATGAAATCTAAATTTAACAGAATGCAAAAACTATCATGTAATTTGTTTACATATCGGTTTATGATGTTTAATAATTATTATAAAGAAGTTGAGTTATGACAAATTTTATCCGTTTGGGAAAATCTTAATTTGGCGAAGCATTCAGTCGCAGTATTTTGTTTTTAAATGAATAAGTGCGTCTAACGTTTTTCCTCAGAATATATATAAGAAATAATGCTTTGTGAAACAAAGACGATATAGAAGTCATAACTTAATTCTAAAGTATATGGTAACCACTACACCAAATATCGCATTCTCTTGGAAATGTGCTCGTTATCCAGTTAGCGGCGCGCCTATTAGAGGACGATCTATCTAACTTTATAGAAATATAGCAGTATAATATTTACCCAAGCAGATTTTCTATTTTGTTTAGCTGAAGTTTGAGCTGTTTTTGATCCTCTAGTAAAACTTCAAGGTTTTCCTGTAAATTTAAATACATTTGTTTAGATTTACCTTGTCATAATAACGGAGCCAGCTTACAAAACGTTTCCCAATTAAAACTAAATATTTCCTTCCAAAAATTTTTCCCTTAAAAAATTTCCACCACATGAAGGTTGATTCCACTTAAAATTGTATTCAATTTTTCAAGATTTAAGAAATTAAGCCGGTGCTAAATTAAAATCGGTTTCTGGCAGATTTAAGCCGCGGCTCAAATTCATTAAATTCGGACACAGATCGAGTTCTAATATAGTTAAAATAGTTAGAACTGACGAGGGTCTACCTAGACCGAAATATACTTTATCAACTCTATGAGGTTTTGTTTATCATCAACACCAATTTTTAAATAAGAATCGGTTTTTTGAATTTTGACCCCCTTAAGACCCCAATTTCATGGAAATAACATTTCTATCTTGTCAAAAGGGTTTTAATTTTTTTCTTCAAAAATAAATATTTGAGGTTTGGGGTCCAACATGTATGTTGAGTTTATTTTTGCCACATTTTAAAATTTTCTTTTGCAAATTTATCGCTTTGATGAGATTTCAAAATCCATCAAAGATTTTGATGCAGGTCTAAAATAAAATTTGTTTTAAAGAATTTTTAGTATTACAAAATTACTCTTTTTATCGACCAACATTTAAAAAAAATAAAAATAAAAATTTGGTGGTTGTCAATGACCTGAAAACCTAAAATTGTTTTGGAAGAATCTTTTTTTTGTTCGTCAAATGGGCATTCCTTCTCCATGGAAAGACCCAAATGTAAAGACTAGGTAACAGCTTTTATACGCAATCAGTCTAATAAATACACCTTAATCGGTCTAATAAATACACCTTAATCGGTCTAATAAATACACCTTAATCGGTCTAATAAATACACCTTAATCGGTCTAATAAATACACTTTAATAGGTCTAATAAATACACCTTAATCGGTCTAATAAATACACCTTAATCGGTCTAATAAATGTATAGGATTACTAAATTATAAATAATATTTACTTGACCTTTTTTATAGTTTTTATATCCTGTGAAATAACTCTCTCCCATATCCGATTTTTGGAAACAACATCATCCATGTTAAAGAAAGACTAAACAAGATAAATATTGGTAAACATTAACTAATAAGTCAAGAAGTAAATTGTCAAGTCTTAAAAGGCCAAAAAAAGTTAACAATTGAGATTTGTAATTTGAGAGCAAAAAGATTTTTATAACAGGTTTTGGTTGGTATTTGCCCCTGGGCCGGGATCCGGATCCAGGAAGCCAAAATGTTGCGGAACCAACGGATCCGGTTTCCTACCACTGGTTTAAAATGTTGTGGTGTGTCAAGCTAGGAGGGAGATAATATGAGAAGAGTCTAGGGTTTATCCATACCTCTCAGTAAATAAAAAAAACTTAAACAAATTATACCTTAGATCTCGTCAGATATTGTTGGCGAATCTTAAATAATGTCAACCAAGACAACCCCCAACTTTTCTCTATCTCTAGCACATACTCCAACTAAAAAAGTTTAAAATAAATTTGCTTAGCCACCAGACTTATTTCACTATTCTTTTCTACCTTCATTTTAATCTTCTCTAAATCTGCATCATCCAGAAAGGTTTTTATATCGTCCACTGTTAGGCCAATTAGTAGGTTTAGTGTGATTATAGACAACAAAACAAAAAACACCACAAACACTAAATAAAATCAATTAGATCGAATACATATACATTGATACTATCTATGGGGCAAATTGTTCTGGGACGAGTGCTTATTCCCAAGACCCACTCGACCCAGGAATTGTCTTAACCCACCTTAAATCCTGGCATGGTATTAATAATAAAAAAATAATATTTTTAAATTTTTTTTTTGTAGCTTTTTAAACAATATTGGTTATAATAAGCCACACCTGCGTAGGATATTTCCGGAAAAGGAACTGGTCCATTTCCGTCATTCTTCCGAAGAAAGATATTTTCATAATCAAACTCTCCGGACATCATTACCACCGTTTTTATGAGTGCATCAGAAACATTATGGAACGGTTCCTAAATTATCAGTACTTTCAACCATGCATGTTATTTGATATTTATTTATTATATATTATTAAGTTCTACCTGATATTCAAACAGCATATGAAAGCCAAGAGCAAAGGCTATTACGAATATGAGAAAGACCAGTATAAAGGACATAAAAGTTCTGAGAACATCATGGAAGATGATTATGTAGCTTCCGATTACTGGAAGCTGTCGCATGTAAGTCAACAAATTAAGCCAAGCAATCGTGATGAGCACGGAGTTCATTGCATACACCTTGCACTAAAACGTATTTCAAGCTTAAATCAGGGATTAAGAATAAAGGAACGTAAATGGTGCTGGTTAATATTAGCATGTGATGATGTGACACATATTTTTACATCCATTTTTCAAGGGCTTTTCAAATATGTAAATTTTAGATGGATCGTATTATAAAAAAAATATGGGCGTTTTTAGATTTTTTCGTCCACCGACCTGTACCCTACTCTATGCATTAAACAAAATTTTTTAAATCATCTCAACTGTTTTTTCTTATTATAACCTGTCTAAGATCCACGTTAGGATGAAGTTCAATCCATTTGTACTCATAACGATCTTCTTCAAAAATCATGTTATTACTTTTAATAAACCATTTTAACACAATTTAATAAACAAAGTGCTTATTACAAATAACTTCAGTAAGGAAAAGTTCAAAATCAGACCTGTCACTTCTGGATCGAATTAGTTTAAGTTTTTAGATATTTATTCTTAAAAATAAACGATATTTTAAAGTTTGTGCCTGAAAAAAGTTTAAGATATCCACACTGGAAATTTTGCTAATTTTGGAAAAATCTATAATTACAAAGTACACAATTTTATAACAAATATCAGTTATTGATTTAGCCTATATTGTATTCCTTTATCCCCCCCCCCCCCCGGTCCCCAAATCTCCTAACAAGTTTTCTTTAGTTGGAGCCATGTCAAAATCCTTAAATTACAAACTCCTAAAAATACAAACACCGGCCTTACCCAGCCTAAAAAAAGAAATTTTTAACTTTTAATCACTTTGAAGTTTCTGGAGATTGTCTTTCCCGCAATTTATAATTAAGGAGTTTTTCTGAATTACCTATAAGTGTGTAGATGGTTACAGTAAAAATAAAGAAATCAAGACATGCTGCATATGGAATTCTTAATTCATGAACTCTCAGGCCATTCACAAACTAAAACATGTGTAAAGTAAATTCAACGTCTCGAATATTTTAAAATTTTTTTATGAGTTTTCTGAAGTTGTGACCTTAAAGAAGTCTTTATATTCTTGTAAAAAGAAGAACTGAAGGGCTCTGAACACATGAACTCGATAAGTTTAGGAGAAAAAAATAAGTTTTAAAAACGAAGGTGATGATAATGATTAGAAATTATGTATGCACTGAAAATTGTAATGAAAACCATGTTTTTGTCACGAATATATCTTTGTAACACGATGTCAGAGACCTTTGATATTTCAAATTACTTTAAATTCAGTTAGATCAAATAATCGAAAGTTCGAAATATTAAAGGTTTACACTACCAGGTTGCAAATATATCGGGATTAGCACATTTGAGCTTGTGACAAGGACTTCGAGTTCTTTTACATTTACAATGAATATGCAATTAGAAAAAAAATATAAACGTAGTAGACAATTCTCGATTAATGTTCCTAAAGGTAAAAAACACCACCAATAAGAGCCATGATACATTATTTATATCATCTCTTCGCTCCTCTTCTTCCAAAGTTCTGTTAGAAATCAACTGGGTCCTGTTTGCTCTTAGAAAGTACTCCGAACAATCATAGAATTCCTGAGAAATTAACTATTTCTTAATAGTGTTTATAGATAATGACGCATAATTTATACAACATAAATCTTAGGTTAATAACTCATACATAACGCGGCCGAAGTGCATGACTCCTTAAATAAGTTATCCCTACAGAGGACGGGTGTATTTTTTGGTAACGTCAATTTGGTAAGGACAAATTGGTAATGACAATTTGGTAATGCCAACTTGGTAAGGTGACAATTTTGTAACGACAATTTGGTAAGTACGTAAAATTGACAACCAGGTATATAACTACATAAAAGTGACTATTTGGTGACTGAATATAAGGTCTACAATATCAGGTTGTAAAGATATAGGGATTAGTTAGTTCTAAGTTCCTTTAAAGTCTAAGGAACTTTTGTTAACCTCTAGTACATTAAATGTGTATTTAAAAAAATCTTTATCACTGATCAAACAAAACACAATAGACTGTACATGGGAATGTAAGAATAATTGATAAAAAAATATAATATTCTCATACTTATGTTTACAAGGTGTAATTGAATTAGGTTTAGATTAAATAGATTTAAAAAACAAAACGTCGATTACCAAATTATGTAATTAATTTTTAATTGCAAATATCTACACTTTTTTTATAAAAAATTTCACCTTACCAAATTGTCATTTTTGTGAACTTACAAAATTGTCATTACGAAATTGTCGTTACCATATTGTCGCCTTACCAAATTTTCATTACCAAATTGTCATTACCAAATTGTCATTACCAAATTGTCATTACCAAATTGTCATTACCAAATTGTCATTACCAAATTGTCATTACCAAATTGTCATTACCAAATTGTCATTACCAAATTGTCATTACCAAATTGTCATTACCAAATTGTCATTACCAAATTGTCATTACCAAATTGTCATTACCAAATTGTCATTACCAAATTGTCATTACCAAATTGTCATTACCAAATTGTCTTTACCAAATTGTCATTACCAAAAAGCCGCCCATCCTACAGAGGTCAAAACTTTTGTGTTGTGAATCTATCTTCAGAAAACCTACGTATTAATTTAATTTCTTTTGGATATCCGTGGCGATGGAAATCTACAGTGTTAAGCACTTTTAACTCTCATATTCAAAAGTTGTCATACTAGATATCAAGATCAAGCACTGATGTAGAATAACGTCATTTCACACAACCACTGGATATCTAGAAGGAAGTAATTTAATTTGTATGGGTGCAAAAGATATAGATAACTTCTTGATCCAGTAAAGGGAAAAAAGTATTGACCTCTGGGCATCTATTTAAATACTTTGCTTGTCTGTTTGTTTGTTTGTATCCAATAAACGTCAAAACGGTTGAACCGATCCGGCCTAAATTTTTTGTGGGACCTCACATGACCCAAGGGAAGTTTATGAATGATCAAAGTAAAAAAATAGCCTCCAACAAAAATCGACTTCCATAAAATTTTGAAAATCCCCAACATTTTTTTTTCATAAAATCCGCGAAGTTTTTTGTTTTTGTTTTGCAATGTCCACAAAGAGAAAAATTTTACAATTAAAACAGAAGATGGGCGCGAAGGGCGCGAAGCGCCCTGAAAACCTAGTTCAGATTCATATTTGTTCTAGTAATTTCTCCGTCTTGCAGTGATACTTTTCTAAAAGGAAGATGCTTACTGGATATTCTGCAGGGTTTGGAATGGTTAGCGTGTAGGCTGTTAAAGTTGCGAGAAATGATATATAGAATAGAAGGTTGAAGTAGTAAAGCTTCCTTCCCACTTTAAACCACTTGTATCTGATCAGAGACAAACATAAAGGATGCCTTAGCAAGTCCTAAATTATTAAATTAAATTTAAATACATAAAAAAATATTAATTAAATTTTCCATTTTTTAAACTACACCAACAACATTTTACACATGTTTCTAATTTGTGCTTAAAAACTTGCTTAAGGCGCAATTTTTTACACTAAAATGTCACGTTTTAAGTACAGTGATATTCTAAATAACCCGGAATAATGTAAATTGGTTGATGAATTCAAAGTCGTCTTTGACCTTAGAAATAAATTGCAGCATTTAACGTAGGTAACCTAGGATTTTAGCAATATTTCTTATATTTCCAAAATGTAGTCTGCAATTTTTGTGCTTTCATAATTACTGAAGATAATAGTGATTTCATTCCGAATGAGCCATTTTTATGGTTTTATTTAATTAATTTAAATTTAAACAAAATTCTTAATATTTTTGGTATTTTTGAGAGAGAAAAAATGCCAGACTACAATTTATAAATGGCAAGATTAGGGCAATTTTGTGATTATTTTTTTCCGCAACTAATATTGTTAAAAACAGGTTTCCAATAATGAATGATAAAACTAATTCTAAGATCAATCTTGATAATTTTTATTTTTTCTGATTATTCTAAATATCACTGTATGATATGCTCCATAAATTCCATTACCCTTTTATTCTCTCTTGACATGACCATTAGTGGATGGTTCCACATGACTGCACTGTGATCTGTTGAGTATGGTTTATCAAACCCATCATCAGCATTATTGTTGTTTACCTAAATAAAAAAGCTCATCTGAAATTTAAGAGTTTAAACGTTTTTTGACTAATTATTTTATACATACCTTTGAAAAGTGTTCATATGTAGGTCTTTTCTTTGTATGCCAAATAGGTCCCGAATTAGTTCTATCTCTTTAAAACAAATCTTAGGAGAGATTGATGTTATTCGGTATGAGACGTCTTTAACAATTTTCTCCTTATAGACACAACAGATAGAAGTAAGATTAGTGGCGATCAAAAGCGCCTTTTTATCGCATTAAGCCTATACCCCCTTTCATTTTTGCGAACACTCCCTTTAACGTGACTTTTTGCCGCTCTTCTCTATTAATAATACAGGTGGATAATTATTCTCTTATTGTATGCAATATATATGTATATGTTAACTATTGGTACTACAAGTACATAAAATAAACAAGATGTAGAATTGTATTGAGACTCTAAAATCCAATCAAGCAGTACAATATATATATGTACATGTTAACTATTGGTACTACAAGTACATTAAATAAACAAGATGTAGAATTGTATTGAGACTCTAAAATCTAATCAAGCAGTACAATATATATATGTACATGTTAACTATTGGTACTACAAGTACATTAAATAAACAAGATGTAGAATTGTATTGAGACTCTAAAATCCAATCAAGCAGGACAATAAGTATAGAGTGTAACACAATTAAAAGCTATCAAAACTTTTCAGTTTCTCAAAACAGAATTTCTTCATTTTCTTCTTCTAAAAATAGGGAATGTTCATAAAAAGAGAGAAAAATAGATAGAATCACAAAGAAACAATTATAATATAATGTAATATAATATAATATAATATAGCAAAATCATGTGTATATTATCACGCTTATCGATCTATGTAAGTAAGAGGGAACAGAAAATAATGCCTGTCCGGAGGGGGGCTATATATATATAATTCCTTAAAAAAAAGGATTAAATTAGTTGAAAGATTTGCACATTTAGTATTTATTAAAGCAATTTCAACTTCACGTACTACTCAACATTTGAAAAGGTATTTTTTGTGTTAAACCAAAAAATTCCTTTTTGGTTTGAAGCGTTGAAAAATGTAATAGATCAGAAGTCAAAACTTGTGTGTATAATGGCGCAATCTGCAAAGCTTGATCTCGATATCCACTGAGACGACTTTTAAATTTGAGAGATAAGTGCTTGATCCCTTTATTTTAGTTATCCCTGAAGGTTACGATTACAATGGAAAATTCAAAAGGAATTAAATTAGTACACAGGTCTGCAGTCTGCACAAGGTGGAGATCAAGATTCACAATACAAACTCTGATTAATCGCGTTAAACTGTAATATATTAATATTTGCAACCTGTGTGTGAAAAGTTCAAAGTTTGAAAATATGAAAAGTTTACACCATCAGGTTGTTAAGATATAGGGATAGAAAAACTCAGTTTGTTGCGAGTAATCAGGTCCTTGCTAAATACAAGATAGGCTTTTTTAAAGTGAGTAGATGTTAAGTATTTTTTAGCTAACGATAACAGTAGAAGTTAATTTAGTTAATTTGTCGTCGTTGTTGTTTTGGGGATAAAAAAGTAAATAATTAATAGAACATTTTTTTTAAAAAGGAATTGAATCAGTGAAATTATTTCATTTAAAATAAAATTCTTTTTTAATATCTTAAATTATCACACTGATAAATTTTTGTCTTTTTTTGCTTTATTTAACCTCTTTAAGCGTGAGGCATAATCTCCTTAAACTAAATTAAGAATTTAAAATTTTCGTCTTATTACCTGTAGTTGTAAGTATCTTCAATAAACTCGAAGTTCATTTGTAAAACTTCATCTTCTTGCTTGACCTGGTAGCATCTTAAATATATCATTTTTCATGTGTAATATATAAATTTTCAGTGTACAATTACGTATACACCTACAACTCATTCATAAAACGAATAAAAAATCTAAAATTATTAGGTATTATGATTTTTTTTTTATTTCATCAGAGGCTGGGATTTAAAAACTTAGTCTTGAAATCTCGTCTAAACTCTAACTAAACTCTAATTCATCAAAAATGTAAAATCCTTTTTGCACTCATTCAGTTATTAAAAAAAATTCCCATTTGTCTAAAAAGTTTATGAAAAGATGCGTCTTGAACCGCTTAATATTGTCCATTTAATACCCATCTTGATTTATTTTGACGACGTTTTTTTTTTGAATTACCTCAGTGATTTCATTTACGTAAAAAATAGAAAAAATCTGAATGAGTTTGAAAATTATAAAAAAAATTAAATCCTTATTTTAAAATGTATTTAAGAAAATTTTAGAACTGTTGCAAGGTAGAATTAAGCATTTTTATTAAAAAAAAAGTGCCTAATAGACTTGTAAAATTAATGATGAAAATAAAAACAAACAGTAAATTTACCATAAATAGGATTACATAAAAGGAAAAAAATGTCCGTTTTCATTGAGATTTTTTATAAATCCTTTCCCCGGTGCAATATTTTTAATTTGTTACGTTACGCAAGGTTATTCAATTAGCTTATTCAATTGAAGTAATATTTTCTTTGTCTTTAATTCAAACCTATCAAGAGCAACTTCAGCTAGGTCTGGATACTTTCTAAAATAGATAAGTTAATTCAAAAATGCTGCGTCGATAGAAGAATTTTTCGAACATCATAAACTTTTTCTGATACCTAATAAGAAGTCTCATAGGCGTGTCTAGAATATCCTTAGAATAACGGAAGCCTTCAGCAATCTTATACTCAACTATTCTGTATACACATATATGTTTGCTTGGATTTAATTATTTTACAGACAGAAATTATCTTACGAAACCTGTAAACATTAGTTAGTTAATATGTTCATTTATTTGATAAAGCAAGAAAAGAGAATGTTTGTTGTATTTCTTGAAAAGGGGAGATAAATTAGCTCCACATACACGGCAATTGACACTTTTCTACAGGCTGCGTTTGGTCCTTAAAATTGATATAGAAGGCTAAACTTTTGCATACAGCCTCTCCATAGAGCACGAAGAAAATTTGAGATCGGAGGTCAATGACCTCTATTTTGACCTCCATGAAAAAAAATATGGGAAAATATCACTTTTTCCCCTCTAATTTACTTATTTTAAGTTACTCAGACATGTTTTCATATTTTTTGCTACTCCATAAATCATGTGCTGATATTGACACATATATCCGACCTCCATGCCAGATTTACCTCCCTTTAATAACGACCTCTAAAATGGTCAAAATATTAAATCAATGTAAATTGGTCATGTGAAGTATCAAATCATAGGTTTTTTTGGTGCTCTAATTCCATTCTGAGACCTTTTTTTGATCTCAGACGATCCTGGAGGTCGTGACCTCGAGATATTAATAACCTCTGGAGGTCAAAAAATGAAATCAATGAAAAAATTTCATGTAAGGTAACAAATCATAGGTTTTTTGGTGTTCCTATTCCATTCTGAGACCCCTTTTTGACCTCAGATGATCCAAATATTAATGACCTCCAGAGGTCTTACGATGAAAACAATAAAGCCAATATACTACATAGTATTTTCTTTCTCATGTCTGGAATATGCAGAACTAGCAGATTTCCTCTCAATTTTCTTAAAAAACTAAAATTGAAAGGGTTTGCAAAAACATCTTTACTATTCAATTCTTTTAACCATTTAAAGGAAACAACAAATCAGTTTTAAAACTTCTCTCTGAAGCATGAAGTCCTTGTTGATTCTATATTATTAACATAGAAGAATTAATAACATTAATAACATTTGATACCTCACATGTCTTATTTTTATTGATTTCATATTTTGACCTCCAGAGGTCACATTGATATATAGAGGTCACGACCCCCAGGATCATCTGAGGTCAAAAAGGGGTCTCTGAATGGAATCGGAACATCAAAAAATCTATGATTTGATACCTAACATGACTTATTTTCAATGATTTCATATTTGACCTCCTGAGGTCATTAATATCAGGAGGTCACGACCACCAGGATCATCTGAGGTCATAAAGGGGTGAATGACCACGGATCTCAAATTATCTTCGTGATCTATGTGGATGACCAAAATTAGAGGCTACATGCAAATTTCAGCTTACAAAGTGTCGAATTGCACCCGACCCCTTTTAACTTGCAAAATTAGAGAACTATGGTCAAGAAGCATTTTTTTTGCTAATGGGATAATCAAGCATTCAAACAGTAATGCCACAAAAAGAACTTAAAACAAAACTGTCAGCAAAAAAAGTATCTTTGAAAATTAAACTTTCTGGACAAAATATGCAGAAACACTCGTAAAACAAGGGTATTTTCTCTGCCTTGAAAATTCTGATCTGTAAATCTAAATGTCGTTCCTGGGTGAGACTTAAGGCTTGTTGCTTGCTGCTTCATTTTTTTTTAAAGGTCTCTAATTTTTCATCCTTTTGTGTTATTATTCCCCTTCTGAAATATTAGGAATTTAACCAAATCTATACGTCAGTTTTCATGAAATTAAATCTTCCCTGCAGCTTCGCATTACATACTTCCATTCCTTACTTTGCAGAATATTTAGCACCATCTCTCTGTAAAATAACGAAAAAATGTAAATTTTCATTTTTTAACGTTTCTAATTTTTTTTTATTACTTTTGATTTTTTTCTATAGCAAGTTCTAGAACATTTCTGTCCTTGTAATCTTTGAGGGCAATGTCAGCACCGTGTTGCACCAGTGTGTTGTACACCTCGCAAAACCCATTTTTTGCTGCCAGGTGTAAAGGGGTTGTCTTATTATTGTCCTCAGTATCCACATAGTTCTTGCAGTAACCTACGATAATCGCAATAACATGATAAGTTGATTTCCAATTATTATTTTCATAATGTGGCTGAAAGGTGGCACTGTTTTAGGTTTCTGAGAGTTGAGTTTCGTGTGTTGTATGTGCTCCTTAATTTAATACAACTTAATGTACAGCGAGAATCAGAAAACTGTGGAATAGGAAGACGACATTAAATCAATAATTAAGTGTAATTGATGCTGTTACACAGAAAATAGTTTTAATTGTGACCTAATAAATCACTTTTTAAGGGAAGTGGGTCATTTTACTTTAAAAAATTACTTCGCCTTATGTTCATTAAAATAATTAAAGTTATATTTTGAATTTACAAGTCGTCTTCGTTTTTCAGAATTTTTTACTAGGCTGTTTTGGAAATCCGTTGCAGATTATTAACATTTACAATTGACTGAAATGGAGAAAAATAAGATCGACTTAGTTTTATGATTCACCCTGCCATTTTCATGAACTTTCATTAAAAACATTTTATTTAAATTTTTTGTTAAGCAAAGAAAAACATGTTTACCGAGCACTAGCTTTAGACATTCAATATTTCCAGAGCTGGCTGCACAACTGCACACAAGATATCATATGAACATTTATTTAAAATGTGATTATATTACCTCTTAGTTTTACATGTATCTTTTCACAAAAAAAGGTTAATGGTCATTTGGTCAATAATCATATTCTAATATTCCTGAGGGGTGTCCAACCGAAACTATTCTTGTCTCTATAATAGTATATCATAAATCATAAATCTTTATTCTTACAACGAATTAAATTACCGTATGCTTAGACCACGCTTAAGCAGAAGTTCTACAATACCCGGTTTCAGATTAGTTCCCGTCTTGGTCGCTAGATGTAGTAAAGTATTGGAATCCACGTCCTTTAATAAATTTATGAAATATTAAATATTATTGCTGAAAAGTTGATTATCTTTGTTAATTTTTTTAAATTGTAGAAAAAAGAGCTGTTTTTTTAAGATAAACTGTTCAGAAAGCGGCATAATTGAGAAATATTTAATAGATATAATAGTGTAGATCTTTAAATGATTACTTTTTCCTGAAGGAGACGAAGATCACTACTAGAGTTAAGTTCTTTATCGAGAAAGCATTTAACAACAAATTGATGTCCATGAATTACAGCAAGATGAAGAGGTGTGTAACCTAGAAGATTTGAAGGGACTTAAATTTTGATTTTAACTTTAATTTGAGCAGAGCAGTTTTAAATGCATTATATACAAACGAAAAAAAAAATAATATGAAATATTAACTTTATGTGAATGCGTCGAAAAATAATCGATTACTATAGGTTCTAATATCTGAATAATTTTTTTGAAATTAAATTGATTTTTTTACGATCCAAGTGATATATTGAAAATTTCTTAATTTTTATGGGCGCTACGTTTTTCAGCATAAGTCGTTTTTAACAATTTTCTCCTTATATATGCAACTTAACCGATCACATGACTCCAAGATAGGGTTATGGCTTTATAATTATCGTTTTATGGGTGCTTTGTTCTTCAATTCTTAATTAAGATAAAAGTTATGCTTAGTTTTACAAAGGAAAACTTTTACAGAATAAGTTTTGAAATATTGGAACCTTCCATAGATAAAGATAGATTGCGCATAAGACGACATTTTTCATCTTGAAAGATATAAATGTACAGAGATGTCTAAAAGATATTCCTATTATATAGATTAACTAGGTCGGTTGTGAACATTGGCTGTTCTTATGTCATTGAGTACTTGTGGTGTACATGAGTTCTGTAGAGAGAAATTTAAGTTAGTTTAGTCCTTCTCATGTCCTTCTTCAGTTCTCGTCAATATGATATATTGCTCAGTGAAATATTGTTGTTCAAATAGTTCCATTCCCGGCATTATTTTACACTCTATTATGAAATCCATTAAAACACCAAACCACCCCGCTTATCATTGAAGTACACCTTGACCCCTAGAAATATGAGTTCGCACACTACAATTCTTGGTGATTTTGCGTACATAAGCTATCTATGTTTATTTATTTATCTATGGAACCTTCACAAGTTGTTGTGGTGCCTTCAAAAAGTTCTTAACCTTAAATAAAAAAAACTTTTAAAAAACTGTAACTGTATACTATATAGGAACAATTTTATGCAAAAAAGTGTAACTTTATAGGGAATGTAACCTTATGGGAAATAACCTTATAGCAAATGTAATTATATAATGTGTAACCCTAGATAAAACTAGATAAATGTAACTGAGCCTAACACTATTGATGACACTATGTATATTGCCTATTCTTGGATATATAAAACCTGCATCATTTTTCATGTTGTAATTTATTGTAGAGTAGTTCTTTAGCAGCTCCCTATAAGTATCAACTTTATTAGAGCTTTTAATCTTTAATAGTCCCATTTACTCATATATTACCTAAAATCTTGTCCAAGAGATCCTGTTTGTGCTGCTAAATGAAGAGGGCAGTTTCCTTTAAAGTCGCGATCCAACAACATTCTTCGCAAAAGTCTTCTTCTTTGAAGTATTTTGATTACTTCCTTTAAATATATGTGTATTTTTTAAAACTCTCTACCAGTTTAGGAATAGAAAATAGAATCCTTTAGTAATCTATCTAAATAATAAAACAAGACATTCGTATATATATATGTTGCGTATAGCCGACCAAACGGCTGGACCGATTGGGCTGATTTTTTTTGTGCACACTTATGGGTGGCCAGGGATGTAATAGGCTAAAAAATTCAATTTTTTTTCCCACGAGCAACGCTATGCCCTTCAGTTAGTATGTATATCTTTTATACAATAAACAACATTTCGTATATATGTTGCGTATAGCCAAACAAACGGCTGGACCGATTGGGCTGAAATTTTTTGTGGAAACTCATGGGTGGCCGGGGGGGGGGGGTGTTATAGGATAAAAAGAAGGCTAAATAAGATTATCAGATATGTATGTTTATTGCAAAAAAAAACTGGAGAAACAACATTTGAAGGAGAAATAGGATGTATTTAGTTTTCAGAATTTAAACAATCAATTTTTATTTACTTGAACCAAAGAAAAATAAATTCTGTTGGTCAAAATATCTAAGTTTAAAATATCTATGGTTTAAACTATCAGGTAAAACGATATTGCAACTAGGAAATTTGAGTTTGTGGCAAAAACTCAGTTCCTTTATTAAATAAGCGAGAAGTAATACTTAGTTGAATCACTACACAAGAGAAGTAATTTTTGCTATTCATTACATCTGGCCCCTTCTTAATAATAATTAATTATAATTAATAATAGTCCTCAAATTGATAACAAACTTCAACTTTTCAAGCCATTTTGAACGTATTTTTATACATAAATCCCAAATAAAAACTATTTTAATGTTACAGAGGACATTAGTTCCAAATCTAACACTTGGCCCATTTCTAACACTGAGTGTTAGAAATGGGCACAAATTGAAAGACTGGGTTTTAGGGATATCGGACGAGGACAACAAAGTTATAATAGGAGTTCTTTTTATATTAAATCTCTTGAAGGTTTTCAAGACAATGTCAGGTTTTCCATTTCCGAACATATATCCTGAATTTTAAACATTGTAGCGTTTTCGAGACAAAACCCACTTTTCCGTTTTTGAGTATAATCCGCCTTTCAGAACATAGCTAACTTTCATGACTTACAAAATAAATCACTGAAAACAAAAATTATCTTATGAAGACTAAATTAACTTCTGAATCATTTCCAGAATCTAAGTTTCCACATTTTATCTGTTAAATTAGAGTATGGATGAATTATTTTCAAGCATTTTAAACAAACAGTTTCCCGCATTTCTAGCTAGTTATATCTATCTTGTTTTTAATCTTTGTGACAGAAACAATCTCAAGAACTGACGAGGATCAACCCAGATCGAAATATATTTTCAATAAATGTGGAACTAACATCTACTTTTTTTTTACTCTAAAGAGGTTTAGTCCATCACCATCACCGAATTTTAAAGTTTTATCTATATTGTAAGAACAATTAATTGCTATTATAATATTTTAATTTCTTAATGCTGTAATGATTTTTAAATTACAAAGGAACTGTTTGTCTTTATTATCTATTTTGTTTATATTTTACCTCATCAAAATTCTTGTTTTGTTACGTAAGTGCGTAAATGATTGAAAATTGACATTGATATGAATTCTGGTAATTGTCTCAAAATAAGGATATGTTCCGAAAACGCGACATGAGCTGAAATCCCGTAATATGTTTCAAAATGAAATCAAGAATAGAATCATCAAAGACTAATTCTCACGCCTTATTATTAGTTTAAAATTGACATTCATTGTTTTAATATATAGTTTTAGCCATTTTTTATAAATATATGGATTTAAAGATAAATACTCTTGAAAAAGATAACTTTGCAGATTTGGCCCAGTGTTAGAAATTGCCCAAGTGTTAGTTTTGGAACTAATATCCCCTGTATTATAATAATGTGAATTGTTTGTTTCGTTGTAAGAATATAGATCAAAGAACTTACCTTAAGTCCGTCGGAACATTCCGCTTGAATCGCGTAATGCATGATATTTCTGCCGTCATTGTCTATAATCTTCAATTCATTGACGCTGTAGAGTTTTAGTAGCATACTAATGAGAAGGTTTCATTAAAATGAGTAGTTAATGTAAAATTAATGACTATAAGATATACAACAAGGTGAAAGCTGAAAGGTAGGAAATCAAACTAAAAAAACCATTAATTTTATATACATCATGATATTTTTCTAGGGGGGGGGGGGGGGAAAAAAAATGAGCCAAATTAAAAAATTTCCCCCCCCCCCCACAGAATACTTATTTACGCCCCTCGGTACTGGACAGTACCGAGTGAATGCATATACAGTACAAGTTGTATAGCTCGGATCATTCATCTTTTAGAGCTGTGTGAGAAATATCATTGAAAAAATTACCAATCTAACTTTTTAATGTGACCCTTTGTATTACATATTTGCTACGTGTTACATTTAAACAGATTTTCAAAATTATTTAAGAATTCAGGCTTTCAGGAGACTCCACTTAAATCTGAGAAGTTAGACATATTTCGAAATTGTATTATTTAAAATTTAACTTTTATTACACTATGTAAATTGATTTTGCTTGATTCAAGACTCACATCTTCTGTCAGAGAAAAAGTTTTGCATAATTTAATCAAAAAAAATAAAACTGATAGCAAATAAAATAATAAATTACATAAGATTTAATAGATTTTTATGACGCCTTCTTGAAGCTAAAAATCCTAAAATATATTTTTTAAAAAAGGATAATAACTAATAACAAGGATAATAAGATCTTGGAAACTTTTATAAGATGTCATTAATATAGTCTTTTCAAAATGCAAGGTTTTTTAGCGAACTTTAATGCATACGTGCCCTTTACAAAAAAAATCATTTTATTGAAATCATAAATGCAAAAAAATTAAGTAAATTATTGCTCTTGTTTCTTGTTTTAAATTTTGCGAGATATTTCAATCTTACATACATATAAAAATGCCTTGGTAAATTTATAAATCATATTTCATTGTCCAACTAGTCTGGAACCAATTCTGCTTAAGTAGAAGAGGTAGATCTTCATGAATAAAAAATAGGCACAAATTAAAAGACTGGTTTTATAAGATTCCTGCCCTTATCGAGAGTAAAAGTCGAAAATAAAAACGATAATTTTATTAAGCATGACTTTTAGGCAAAAAAACTGAAAACTACAACTACGTAATTGAGCAGACATCAATTCAGATACAATCATTAAAGTCTTTTTTCTTCTTGCTCGAATATATTTTTTCTGAAATTTGGAAATATCTGTGACACATTAATCTAAAATGAACCACAAGCAGACATATTTTAATATAGGAACATATAGGTACACTTACACATTAAATAGCCTAAAATGAAATTACTTGAATTAATTTCAAATTTTCTTTTTTGGAAGGAATTAAAATTAAATTAAGATTTTTGAAGAAAGGTTAATTTTTACTTCTAATATAAGTTGTGCTGCTCACAAATCATTAATTGGCTTTTAAACAGTAACAAAATCCTTCCTTGAAATCTCCTGATGACCACTGAGCAAGGCAATCATCAAGGGAGTTTTGTTGTGGTGATCCGCCAGTGAAATATTTGCCCCGCTACATTGGTTTAATTTTTAATCTTTATGGTTTTCCAAATACCCAGACACAAGTTTAAAATACACATTAGCACCATATTACAACTTAAATTTTACTGTGATTTCTTTTACTTGTATAAATTGGTACAAATGTGTATTAGAAACTTCAAGAGTGAGAAGGGTAAGCTAATTTTGTTTATTTTGAATTGAATTGATCAGCATTTTTATTTAAAAACTTTAAGAATAAGGATCCAAAGTAACGCCTAAATTTTAAAATTGAAGTGCAGTCAATAAGAAACTAACAACAGCTATTTCTTGTTTTAAATTTGGGTGATTAATTAGTTATTTTTTCATTTGTGTGCTTTAGAAACTTCTCAAATTTTCTTTAAATACTAATTAATACCCTTTCATTATACTTAAAAGTTATATATTATGTTTTATTGTTGCTCTTATTACCTTTGCTTTAAAACATCTACAACGTTTTTGTGATTGTGTTTTGACGCTAGGTAGAAAGGTGATCGTAACATTTTGTCTTGTTCGTCAATTATCTATACAATTACAAGTTCTCCATGTATATTCTTCTTTTTTTCCCAGCAAAATTTTGATAGGTTACCTTTATAATTTTTTTTACAACAGTAGACTGTCGCAATACTAGTTCCCATTTCTTTTTCGTTTTCTTCTTACCATCAACTTGGTCTGTCAAATTCCCACTTTTAAATTAAGCATTATTTTACAAATGTATAGTTTAAGTAAAATATGAAATAATCTTTCTTCAAGCTACCTTTGTAAGTCTTTGTACTGAAGGTTGCTGTCCTTAGCTAGTTCAGCAGTCAGTAACTTCATAATATCTGCATGTCCATATCTAACGGCAGTGTTTAAATTTTAACTTATCAATATCATTCCCCTTTCCTCTGTAAAATCCGATCCATCTACCTGGCACAAAAGTGAAGTGGGGATTCTCCAAACTTATTGGTAATTGCAAGTGACGCTCCATGATCCAGCAATAACTTAACAATGTCAAGCTTTCCACTGGCCACAGCAAGGAATAGTGGCGTTCTCTCTGCTTTGTCACCTATTCCGAAACTTAATTATTTAGCTTTAAATGAAAAAAGACATACGGTTAAATGGAAAACTAAAATTTGTTATTTAATTATCAACGTTCAGAAAGGTCAGAATATCTATGTTAAAAAACCGTAAATCCTTATTCTGAATGGAAAACTATGAAATGCTGGACGCTGGTATATTATATCAGCATTCAGCAGAGTTAGGAAGTCTGTCTTACAAAACCTCCAAGCCTGTGTTTGTTCAGTATATAGTATTTTTGTATATGTATATGTATATAGTATTTTTGTAGTTTCTCTGGAAATATTTTTTAGCAAACAATGTTAAGTTGTTTCTTTGGAAATAATTCTTATCAAACACCGTTAAATTTGTTTATTGTTTTTTTTTTACAAAACCACTGAAATAGGATTAAAATGTGCATTTGTGGAAGACGATACCTAGCCGCCTAAAACAACTTCCACAAGAATGAGATAGAACGGATACGGGGCATTGTACTTTGGATCTACACGTGTGATATTGATATTCACTCATGTTCTGAACCCTCTAGTAATAAGTTATAAGAAATATATATCCTGGAAGTTACTTTATGCGTTTCATTAGAGTTTGACCCACGTCCTCTATACATTGCATTTTTTTCCACATTTTTTTATATCAAAAAGAGTATAAAACATTTTAGGCAACCTAAAGAAATAAAAAAATATTTATTAAAAAATATCTCACTCACCGAAATTTATAACATCTGTGGCAGAGGGATGATCTAAAAGAACTTTAACACATTGTGTTTCACCCTTGCAAGCAAAGTGTAGAGCTGTCATTTGTTCCCTTGATTTCAAAATATTAGTTTATTGAAATTGCAATATATCTTCAAAGTTTTCTTTGTCTTAATTTTTTATTGTAACATATTTTAAAGATTTTTATTGTTAAACCTATTGAATGCTTTTAAATTCAGCTTAGAATTATCCAGCAGGAACTTCAGAATATGATCATGTCCATGAACTGCTGAAAGATGTAAACAAGTGTTTTTTTGTTCATCTTTACTCTGAAATGATTTACTCAGTTTTAATTATATTAGAGCATGTTCATGAATACCCATTACTAATGGAACTTACGTCAATTTTGATGTTTCCAACTTTAAGATCATCTAAGGTTTTCAGCTTCTTTACGAGATGTAGATTCCCTCTGTAGACAGCATGATGCAATATGGTGAAACCATATTTATCCTGGGGGATTAAAAAATGTTAAAGAAATGATCGATTCCTGTCTTTAAAGAAATATTTGACCTTAACATCTCTATATTTGGAATGAATGAGGAGAAACTTGATGGTTTCCCAAGTATTTTCTTTCATCTCTTTGCTCTAAATATGAAAGTCTTATATATTATTTCTAGAAATAAGGAATAAGGATACTCTATAATCTTTATGACCATCTTATTTACTGCCTAAAAGGACGGACCTTTATACCATGCACTTTTAGTGAAGCAATATTAGTGAAGTACTAATGAGGATGTACTTAAACTGAGGACATTATACAGAAAAAAACGCAGACCATGAGGCACATTTAGAAAGTAGTTTGACGAGGCACATACAGGACGTAAAAAGTATGTTTATAATAGTTTACATACAGATTTAACAACCTGCCCTCTCAGAACAACACCACTCATGTCTTCAGTTTCTTCCTCATCATCAATTTTACCATACCTTAAAATTTACTTAAATCTTAAATATTACTAGAAATTAAAACAATATTTAAATATTGATTTTTAAACTATAGGGTTGAACTCATGCAGTGCCGTAACTGAATTACATGTTGTTAGGATAATATACTTAAAACAATTTTCTATGTAAGCTAAAGCTTTGCATAAAATCAGTGGGTTCCAACAATTCAAAATAGACTGGGTAAACTTGGCAAATAGTCTTAGCAAGAGAACTTTCACAGAGTTGAATTCTTTGGAAAAATTACACACAAAATGTGTATGTGTAGACTGTGGTAAGTTCCAGCAAACTTTAACTGTAGTGTTTCAAAATTAAGCATCATCAAACTCAAGCTAAAACTACTATGTTTAATAATAATCAAAAAATTAATACTATATAGATATTGATATAAACAAATGATAAGAATATTATGTTAATAGAAATCGTATTAAGAATTACGTAGAATTACAAAATTTCTGTAAGCTTTAGTATTCTATTGTCTCTACCTTCTCCCCCCTCCCTACAGAAATACACTAACGGCTCGGAACTTATTGAACCATTTTGATGTTTGTTTTTACTAATGTTAGTCAAGACTTTACTTTAACTGCAGTTCTTTGCTTAAATTAATTACTTTTATGCTCGGCAATTCCTTCCTGTACGGTGTACAACTCTGATTATGTATAATTAGCCATTAAAGCATGATATACCTGGCTGCAAAATGTGCTGGAGTCATTTTGTTTTGACCAGTTGTTTCGGGATCACTTTTCAAACTTAAAAAATTGCAGAACTTCAGTAACCCCAAAAATAGAGACGCAAATACTGCATATTCATTGATGCTTGGGAGGAATTTAAAAAAATCATTGCCGTTGTCATGCATGGGGCGGCCTCCCCCTGAAGTTTTAACCATTTAAACACAATATGTTAGACTTAAGAAGCAATGTTATGACATTTTTCAATATTTATTAATGTATCTTGATTGGAATAACACATTAAAAATTATTCATGTCTCGAGTAAATATTAATTGTTTGATGATTTGAAAGGAAGACGACATTCAAGAGGAAATCACTTTTTTGTCTTTACCCCCTTTAAAATACATTTACTAACTAAATGTGTATTCAATATATGTAAACTATATAATAATTTTTAATGTTTTAACATTGTTTTTATGTCTAGCATTGTGTTGAAATGGTTAAACCTTCAGAGGGAGTCCGCCCAATTAATTTACTGGGTTTTGAATAAAAAAAATGTAATAACTTTTTAAACAAATTATTTCATTAAGCTCCAAACCCTAAATAAACCTTTATTTTTGGTCAAACTGTATATTTTTAATTTACCTTATTAGAGTTTTCACCATTTCAAAATCACTGTTCCTGAATTTTAATAAAATTTATATAAAACAGCATCAATCGTCTTTAGTTATCGTTCCTAGTATTAAACATTACTATTTAAGATAGGAGTTAATTTTCTTTAAAAAGAACAGCAGCCTGTGCCCCTTTTTGACTCCTAATTTAGCTTAATTAATTCCCCCGCCCTCCCAGCAATATCAGACATTAATTTCACATGTAGAAAATGATCTGCAAACCCCCCTTTAGCATCTGTTGAGCCGTAAAGAGATATTAAGACCAGTCTAGTCTTTATTATAATTAACTACTAGCTGAAGTGCCCGGCGTTGTCCGTGGAATTAAAAAACTCTTGAAAAAAATTTCGTTTGGCTAGCAATAGCTAACATATATACAAATATATATGTATATACTGATTGCATAAAAGCATGAAACAATTTGTTTATGAATAAAATTTTATTAGAATTAACAGTCTCTATGAGTATTCTTGTTTTCCGTTTATTTACTATTTAAACTTGTCTTTGATAAAACCTTAAAATTAAAAGTTTATTTTTTCCTAATCTAAAAACACTAATTAATATTTTTGTCAAAAATTAATCAAAGGAAAATACTTTTTAATTTTATTATTAAGCATTAATGTAGTTAATCAAACAAGTTTTATTTAAAGTACAACTAGAGTCAATGAAACTGAAAATTACAAAAAGTTTACAGGCCTAAAAGACACCACACCACGTCTTTTCAAAAGTTTTCCTAAAACCTGAAACGGATCAAAAATATGAAGAAACGAATCGAGAAATAGAGGACAAACTGAATTTTTCAAAGTTTATCCCTTTTAAGTTTTCGAGGGATCTCCAAAAATTCTTGGAAAAAGACGAAAATTCTTGAAAAGTCATTTTTTGATCGGTGTAAGTTCTGAGAGGCGTTTCCAACACGGAAACGATAGCACCCTCTAGTCTATTCAGAATCACTAAAGTGCGACCTCTACAATCAAAATAAGTTATATTTAATCTTTCTCTGGATTCAAAAATGTTGTGGTGATGTATAAAATAATAGTTTATATTGCGTGATACAAATTACACAAAACACTTTATCAACACTTATTGTATTTATTTATAGTAGATACCTGGCAGCATAATGTAGGGGAGTATTTCCAACATCATCCTTGCTGTTAACTGCATTAATATTGAAGATTTAAAATGGGAATAGGCTAACATACAAGAGACAGAATTCCGTTTGCCCTAGAATTTGCTAAGGACCTAAGTACAGCAAATATATTCTTACCGCTTTGTGGCAGCATAGCCAGTGAATTTTCCGCTTTGACATTTCTTTTAATAAAGTTTAATTAGAAAGTAAAGAGCTATATCTAGGGGGTGAGGGACTATTAGAGTCTTTAAATTGTTACGTCAAGCATTATGTCAGGAGTATAACAGGGAAGGGATCCTCTCGGCATGTACAAAAGAATGACCACAAGAAGATGGACGAGAGATGGTCACAATACACTGTAAAGAAATACTATATATAGGAGAGGCTTTGCACGAATATCATCCGACCTTGCTAAAATCTTTATATGAAAGTGTAGAAAGTCAAGGTAAAAAATGTCACATGTAAATATTGGCTAATGATTTACACAGGGTCAGGATATGAAAATACATCGTATGGCCCCAACCTATGAGAAGAAAAAGAAAAAGAAAAAGAAAAAGAGAAGTATAGTATTTTTGTATATGT